AGGGAGCCGGAGGAGGGGGTTCAGAAAGCCAGCCCCCAGCCTGCCCTTCCCTGACTCCTCCAGCTCACGGAAGCCACCCCCCACCTCTGCTAGGTGAGCATGTGGGGGTGCCACTTGGGGGCCTGCAGATCTAGCCATCCCTGTGGGACCCCTCAGGTCTGTGCCACCTGTCGTTTTGTCCTGGAGTCCTCAAGTCTGACTCTGCAACATAACAAGTTAAACCTGCCAGAGACCCTGCCTTGGAGACAAAGGGGTCTACAAAAAGGGAGGCCTCAAACACCCCGCTGGTAGGAAAGGCCATGGAATAAACCCTAAATTGCTGAGTTCTGGCCATCTTCTAGCTCTCTCAATGGGGGTGTTTTTTTTCTTCCTTTAGCCTTCAAAAGCAGCCTGTTAAAAGTTTGTACCTTTACAGGTTCCTCCCCCTGTCGCTTTCACGCAGAACTCTAATTGGAGAATCACTCACATTTAGTGATTTAAATTTCAATATTGTCCAGGTTGTTTTTTCCTCACATGGAAGCCCCTGTTCAAATGAAATCTGATGTGAACTGATACAGGGTGTAAGACAGACATGAGTGAGCTGCTCAGGTAGAAAAGGGGGGGGCCCAGAGAAGTGGGAGCCACAGAGCAGACGGCCTCGAATGTTTCCTGATCTTGAAACTAGGCTCTTTCCAGAGCATTTCAAGGCTTGAAGTCAAGTCAGAGCAGAAGGAGCAAGATGGGGCCTCTCCTGAGTCCCGCCCACACACTTTCATACCTAGCTGCCCATTTCCATTCCCTCTGCTTGCGCCTTGGAAATGCCATTTCTTCCGCTCCTGAGGGAGCTCTCTGACTGGCACAGCGGAATGGGGAGGGGAGACGTGGGGAGGCTCCCACCGCTGGGGCTTCCTTAAGTCCTTTTTCCACAGCGGAGGGAGCCTCAGGTGACGCTCACAGAGCTGCTCCTGGGTTGAGTTTCACCTTCCAGGGGACCATGTGAGTGAAGGACGAACAGGGGGACAGCAGGAGAACCCGGCAGGCAAACAAGGTGAAGGACAAATCCATCTTCATGAGGGCTCTAAACACGGGATCGTTTCCTCTGGGCCCTCCAGACTCACTCACTACCTCATACCGCACATCTACAGCTAAAACCAACTGCGGGCAGGCGACACGCTAAGGCAATGAAGGCTGAATGACTGGCTTAATGCCTGCCTCTTCTTCCATCGTTTCTAGCCAGCGTCCACTGGGACCAGTAACTGGCCCTGGGAAGGGGTGCTGGGCTCCCAGGGCAGTGGTGCAGTGAGCTCGGGAGGCAGCACAGAGCTGGACAGTCCATTCTCTTCCCATAGCAGATACAGCCCCTCCCCTTGGCCCTCTCCATTCCCATTGCTGATCGCTCCAAGGCCTAAGGAATGCTGTGTCCCTGATCACAGTGACTTGTGGGCCTCGAAGTGCCTTTCCCGATGCCAGGCACTTTCACTTCCTAGAACCCCACAGGCCAACTGCTACCTCAGTGCCAAAGGCACAACTAGGTATTTCCCATGGATACCTCACCGGTTTAGAACCTTCCTTCCCTCCACAAGTACCAGCTCCAAAATCCTGTTGAGTCTACCCACCATGCTCTCTCCACCCCATCACCACTGATGGCAGCGAAGGAGGACTTTCGCTGTCAGCTCCCCGTTGGCCTCCCTGCCGTGAAATTTCCCTCACTCACCCCCAGCCCTGGTCCATCTCACACACTGCTGCTAAGATGAGCTTCTCAAACATGCATTTCTGGCAACATTACTCCCTTGTTTAAAACCCACTCCAGCCTTCCTTCACCTACAGAGGGAGGTCCTCGGCTTGGCATTCAAAATCATCCCAGGTGGGAGCCCCTGGCTTTCTAGCTTCACCTCCTTCTCCACTCCCCTGGCCTCCGCCTGTGTTCTGGCCACAGGAGTCCACGTGCTGCTCCCGTCAGCTCCCAAGTGGCCCCCAACTCCAAGTTCTGGCTCTGGCTTTTCCTTCTGTGTTGAATGCTCTCATGTGTGTCCCATTTATTCCTTCCTTTGGGCTAGCTCCACTCGCAGGAACCTCCCTACACCCCCCAATCAAAATGTGCCTCGCACATCCCCATGTCCCCAGCAGGCTGTTGGACAGTATGAGCGCAAAGCAATCTGTCCTCATCCCACCCTCATGTATAGGATGAGATCTTAAAGAGTCCTCATGTTTTATTTTTGACTTAGCAGGAAAGAATTAATTTAATTTTTTAAAACAATATTTAGCCTTCTTAAAGAAGATCTTAATATTAACATAATTTAAAAATACTATTTTCCTGTGACATTGATTAAACCACTGATTTGAGGACAAAAATTAATGACATAGATTTTCGAGGTATTCAAGATTCAATGGTGATAACTAACTTGGAACGGCAAAGAGCAAACCATCAGTAGAATATTCTACAAAATCCCTATATGCTGAAGGAAGGTGAAAAGTTGCCGTCAGCTGCTTAATATCCTTGAAAGATGTCCACACAAGACAGTCTTATTCTGACAAACCAGCTGGCTAAACTTCTGACTATGGCTAAACTTCTGACTACAGCGGAAAATTGGGGTTGATCCTCAGTCCTCAGCTACTTTTCAGCCTTAAGAAGACAGATGTACATTTTTTGGTTAAGAAAATCAAGCTGTTAGTATGGAAATTCTGTGTAAGCGTTGCTATCAGGCAGCTCAAAGAACAAACACCCAAGGAAGTGCTGAGTGAGTGTCCCCACACAGTGAAGGATGTTATGTTGATGAGACCTTTGAACTTGAAGAACAGGGCTTGAGTTTGATTTTTTTGGATGCAAAAATTTACTCAAAGGAGTAAAGAAAAAGGGGGGGGTGTCAATCTTTTCATATAATTTAGGAGAAAGTTATATGAGTCACACTGGGGGCTGAATTGTTGATAAACCAGTCAGATGGTCTATCAATATATACCAGGTTGATTTTTTTTGTAGTTGTGGAATTGGATTAAAAAAACCCATTTTATTTTGGAAGAATTTCATGCATACAGAAAAGATACAACTATAGCAACTCCATATCTGTGTTTACTATTTTTATGCATACATGGTTTTATTTTTCCTGCACTATTTTTAGAGTAACTTGTAGGCATTGTGCCTCTTTATCCATTAATATTTTAGTTGTGGATTTCCTAAGAACAATAATATTCTCTTAGAAAATCACAGTATAGCATCAAATTCAGAGCATTTAACATTGATTTTAATCTATAGATAATAGTTCAATGCTGTCAGTTATTCTCACAATTTACTATATGGCTTTTCACCCCTCTAGTACAAGGATATAGTCCAGGGTAACATACATACTACAGTTAGTTGTTATAGAATTCTTGTCTTTTTCACCTCGAATCCTTTTTCACAGACCAAGATGAGGAATACACAGATAGACAAGTAGCATTTTTCATTATTATTCCCTCAGAGGCTTTCACATACGGAATTTTACATGCAAAGGGCACTCAATATATAATCACTGATTTGTATTTCTTGAGAAAGATTCAAACTGGAAGGAGAGAGAACATGGTAACATAGTTTTGCTAGAAATGAATTTGGAAGAATTCTGAAAGAAATAAAAGTAGTAGAGCAAAGACTATAAAGATTATGAGGGAAGAAGCCCACTTAGGATTTCCACTATTAAATAATCTTCCCCAGCTTTGGTGGAGAGGGTCCTAAAAAGTCTAGAGAGTTTTATATTCTACCCAATATTTCCTGAGCACTCGCTGGGTGCTCTGTGTGTCCTTCTACGGAAAACGCACAATTGGAAAAAGGAATGAAACCACTGATGGCAGAATTTTAGATATTCAGGAGCTCTGACGGGTTGGGATGGCGGTGGGGGGAGGCGAAGGCTGCTTGCCCATCACTTGCAGCATAAATGTGAGTTGTCCCACAGAGAGGTAAAGCTGATTCTGGTGAAATCTACTCTAGAGTAGTATCACTGAGAGATTATTTAAAAACCAGCTTTTCTACATATGCAGAGAAAAGTACCCAGACCATGACAACAGAGGACTGAGGAACGGAGATGCTTACACATTCCAAGGGGAGCTTCCAGGGACCAAAGCCATAGCCACAGGGATGAGGGGCCCTGTATTGGTTACACACACCGCCTGGCTATTCCCCTTCCCATTCTGCTATCCGGCAAACTTCTTTGCTCAGTCTGTGACCCCTTGCCTCAAAGTGTTGTTCTTGCTTCTCTTCTGGACAGCTGAAACCCAGCCCCAAGTATAGGGAATCCAAGTTCACCAAAGCACTTGCCCTCCCAGATGGCCATTTGTCCAGAGGTGTTACGTCGCTTCTGCTCCACCTGTCTCTCCATCCAGCAGCCCAGTTCCCACCCACGGCCAGCAGTTCCCTTCTGCTTCCATAGCATTTGCCGTCACATACAGACAACAAGAGCGCAGGGCTGTAACAATGCATCATCAGCTGAGTGGCTATGAGCTCAGAGCTACCCGCCTAGGCTGCTCCCCTCCTGCCTCCTGGGTTCACATTGCCACCAAGTGAGGAGCCAGGGCACAAAGAGGGGACACTTGACTTACACTCATCTGTTTCTCTCACGTGTAAAAAGTCGTGGAGGAACTAAATGATGGATCTACGATTCCTGGGTTCTGTAACCACACAGATAACCAAGACTTGGCCTTACTTTACACGGATGACAATGTAACTAACAAAAGGCACCGTGTATTAGATGTCTGTCTTTGAAAACCATTTTTCTCTATAACGTCCTAGAGCAGGGGTCAGCAAACTTACGGCTAACAGATCAAGTGCGGGCAGCCGCCTGTTTCTGTAAATAAAGTTTGTTGGAACACAGTCACAGCCGCTTGTTTACCTGCTGTGTATGGCTGCCTTCCCACTAACACGGCAGAGGTGAGACAGAGACCGAATGGCCAACAAAGCCTAAAGTACTTATTCTCTGGCCATTTACAGAAGAAGCGTGCCAACCCCTGTCCAAGAGCAAGGAGGCACTGCAGAAGCATAAAAACGAAGCAGGTACCTGTTGACAGGCAGGTGTTTTCTTGTGACATGGCGGTTGTCACCGTTTCCGTGGCTGCGTCTCTGATGGCTTGCTCCTCGCTCTGCAGGAGGGTGAGGACACATCTCCAGAGAGCAAGTGTGTCCTGCAGTCCTAAGAAGACCAAAAAGAATTCGAATTACCTAGGATGCAATTTATAAGCAGATACAAATACCGCTTCAAATCCATGGCGGAGGAGAACAGGAGTTAATGAGCAGCGGCCATTCATTTTTTGGGGGGTTATCACAAGAAAGGACGAGCTGAGATTCAGATCAACACTGGAAGAGAGAGGGCCCTAAGGGAGAAGATTTGGACATTTATTTTTTTTGAGGGTGCAGGTTTCTGGAGGCAACCAGCCCCAGACAAGGACCCCTAGAAAAAAATCTTGGCAAAGGCCCTGGGCCTAGCTGTCCACAATGACTCACAATTCTCAGGAATGAAACATTATATGCATCAAGAGTGCTTTGGGGAAACGAGCCCAGTGTTGATATGAGTGATTGTTTGAGCTTATAAATTCTGAAAGCAAAGTTTCAATCAAGATTATGCTTTGGGGGCAAGAATCGAAAAAGGGTAAGGAACCATGATAAAGGCACCAGCCTATACACCACATCTGTGTGGGGCCCACTACCTGACTGCTATTAACCCTGGGCAGGGACCCTGTCTCGTCCCTGGGCTAGGCGCTGCTGTGGACGATGGAATAGAAGATATCTGCCCCTGAGCACCTAAAAGGAACATCAACTCAAGAACACATGGTGATGAGAAGTCAGGGCTGGAAATGTGTGGTTGTGACTCGGCACAGGGAAAGATCACAGCGGACTGGCATAACCAAGGCAGACTTCACGAGGGAGGTGAGAGGTGGGCAGGGCCTCACGGAAAGGATACAAGCTGACCCGGTGGGGTGGGCCCAGGCTTGTGGAGGGTCACGATGGAGGGCCACGGAAGCCCACCACTTCCCATCATCCCTAGCCTTCAATGGGGAACCAACCCTGTCCTAAGAGCTCTCCTTAGCCTACCCTCTCCCTCATCTGTCCACGGAGAACCTGGTATCAGAGTCACCAATACTTCAGTCATACCAAGAACAGCAATGGCTCCCTCTGGGGTTTCAGTCTCTTTTTTCTGTTATAAATCTGGCTTTAAATTTGACTCATTCTTTCAGAATCTATCCATTCTACTGTTCTCTAGGGTTTCATATTTTCCTTTCTTAATATTTTCCTCTTTAACATGGTCATGTATGCCCTTGTGATCCTCAATCTCCCCTCTTTAGTCCATTTCAATTTTTCTTTTTCCTTTAATTACTTTGTTGTGTCCTTGATTTGTCCCCATGCACTTTTATGTCCTTTGTCTCTCAGTTGCATTCCCATTCTTCATGTTCTTGTAAACCATCAGCCACCACTGATCTCCTTCCTTACTGCCTATGATGCTGTAACCAGCTCCAACAATTATGAACCAACAGCTTTTGCCCAGGACTCAGATTCACTCAGGAATTCCAGGTTATTCTACACACATTTTGCCTGATAGGAGCTCGGGGTAGAGTAGCCAAAGTCACCCCAAAAATGTGCTACTAAATATTACCCTCACTGGAGAAGCTTCACCAAAGTTTACAAACCTTTGCTCTTATTCCCCTGGGTCCAAAGATTAAATCACAATCATAGAAGGTTCCCCTTTCAGTCCCCCTTTGGGTTTAAGAAAAATGCCTGGAAGTCACTTAGAAGAGAAAATGAAAAGGACCTCAAAGACAATTTTGTTTCCCTGAGTGAGATGCTTCATTGGTCTGAACTCCAATAACACATCACATCTAAATTGCATCATCTACAAAAGCAATTCTCTCCTTGTTTCTGTAAACCCTTTCTCTAGAACTACACTGCAAACTGCTTGGGCCCAGGAACCATGGTTTCCTCTCCGGGAGTGGGCATGGAAGAGGTGAACAAAAACAGAATTCCAGTAATGGAGGAGAGAGAATCACAGCACTATAATATGGGGATAAGACGGGAGGAGAGGACAGGGTGGGGATGGAGGTGTGGCTTTAGGTCCCAGGTTTTCCTTTCATTAAACCCTATCTTTAAAAATAAAACAAAACACCGCAATTTACAAAAATCATTAAAAATTAAAACAAAACAAAAACCCCTATGCTGTTTCACTTCCTTAGGATTTCCTAGAGCTTGGCTTTCTCAAACACCACTGACATGACGGTCTTTCCTAATTACTATTCTTAAAGGGCAGGGGGTGGCAGTGAGGAAAGAGACAGGAAGGTAGAGAGCATGATTGGAAACCACCTAAGCTCCGTCCGTCCGTCCATGTGACTTCAAAATGTCTCTACTATTATGTCCCAAAGGTGCCTTAAAACTGAAGACCAAGTCCAGTGACAAAGGCACCAACAGTCTTTGCAGTCACTTAAACCAGAAGCCTGGGTGCCATCCTTGAATCTTCCTTTTTACATTAACCTCCACACTGAGTCCTGTTGATTCAACGTCCTAAATGCCTTTCAAGCCCTTCCTTTCTTTTTCCTCAAAGCCACAGCTTCACACTGACACATTCGTTTCTAACAAAGACGACTGCAACAGGATTCCTGGAAGAGGTGACAGCTATGCCATCTTGAAAGACAAACAGAAGTCAGTCGAGCAGCAGTATGTTTATAAAACTGTTCCCTACTGATGACGCATAGGGCCCGTGTTGGGGAGTGACAGCTGACGAGGAGGAAGGGGCAGGCAGGGCACAGAACAGGAAAAGCCCTAGGAACCCTGTTAAAGGGTATTTAGATTTTATCCTGAAGGCAAGGGGACCCCACTCAAAGGCTGGAGTGAAATGATCAGATCTGTATTTCAGAAAGGCCACAAAGGCTTTTGGAAGTGTAAGGAGAATAGAATGGTGTGGGGGACAAGATAGAAACAGAAGAGGCCACTGAAGAGGCTGTTGGTGAAAAAAAAATGATTGGAGTAGGAGTGAAGAGAGGGGGGGAATACATTCGAAAGATGTAAAGGTCAAGTACACACTGTCATTTTTCATCTTCCCTTCTTTTTTAATCTGAAGTATTTATTCATGCTTTTAGCTCATTCAGTGCAAGGGACATCTCCCCGCTCAGCGCACTTACCAAGAATGGGGTGGGGGTTGGTGAGGAAAAATGGCGTGGTGCTGGTGAGGATTTCGGCAGCGGCCAGCCTGGACTCTGTGGGAAGATGATCTCCACAGGATGAGACGACCAACTGAACCCACTGCTTCAGCTTGGGGGTTACTGAGTCCCTGGTCTGAAAGCACAAAATGTACAGCAGTTCAAAAGATGCCATCAGGGCTGACATGGAATTAGAGATGAGCTACATACACTAAAATGGATCTGCAAATTAGCTCTTGTCACAGTGGGAAGAAAGGTTTTAAATTGTTTTTTCCATCCCAACTAGGGAGAAATAAACAAGCCCGGGGAAGAAAATCTGGCTTGTCTTTCAGTAATATGGAGTCACTATAACCAGCAAGCAAGTTCCTTGAGTCTTTTCTGATGCAAATCAGGTTATCGGAACATTGGTGTATTTGACAGCTTCGGTAAAGACAAATCTTTTGGGGAAAGACTGTGGCAGCAAATCATACTCGCTGTCCCCAATAATCAGATATTCCTTCTAAATTTAATAACAGAATCTCAGATTTGTTGGCTAGGCATGTGGGCATCCAGCTAAAGACTACATTTCCCAGACTCCCTTGAATTTGGGAGTAACTTGTGATTAAGCTCTGACTAATAGGATGCCATTGGAAGTTGTATCTGTGTACTTTCAGGTCACACCTTAGGAAACAGGTGTGACCTTCACTTCCCGGTTTTTTACTGTTTCTCCTTCCTGCTAGCTGAATAAGGACAAGATGATGCGAGCTGGAGCGGCCATCTGGGACGTAAGGTGGAAGTCATGTTGAGGACAGAACAACAAGGCAGAAGGGCCTGGGGACTCATCACTGTCAACTCACCTTATCTACTTTGGGCTGCTTCTACCTGATTTAAGCCACTGTATTTATGGCTTTCTGTTACAACATTTAAAGCAGCATCCTAACTAACATTATTGTTTAAACAAAG